AACTCTGAAAGGAAAACTGGTTGGGAATCACAGTGGTGTAGTGTAGTTACAGAGTTCTGCCATATATTAGTAAGTTCTGAAACCATAACTATATAAACTGAGTATTTATTCGGGTGCAAATAATTTAATCATAGACATTGTACTGGGTGTGTAGCTACCTTTTATTAATGGTTTTTTTTTACAAAAGACTGTCCCTTTCCGTGAGCTGGATGATGTCAGGCTGGACATCAGCAGATGAAGTGCTAGTGCAGGGATCCTGGCCATGCTAGCAAGGAAACTTCTTCATTCCCACAGACCAACGTGTGTTATGTGACTTCTAAAAGACTCCCTCTGTTGAAAAAAACTGAAAGACAGGAAACCACACAAGCCTGTATGGTACCAGCCTGGTGCTCAATTATCAAGTAATGAAGAAATCCATGAAGACTCGTATTTTAAAAGTAATTTTGATCAGCACTGTCAGCTCCCTATTTTACGTCCATAAAGGCACACAAGAATATTAACATGTTTTGGGAAGAATGAGAAAAAATTGTTAATTTTAAGGTAAAACATATATCAGTCAGTTTGATCTATCTAATGATCAAATAAAGGAAATCTGCTAGAGAAGCCAGTACCTTAAAATATATGATAGTCTTCAAAAGTACCAAATAAGTTAAAAAGGACATCACATCTGTGTGGGATTAAAGAATGCCATTAAAAAGGAGACTGAGAAAAAGAAGAGGAAGAATGGAAATAGAAAGATTTTATATTATTCAGCTTCATGGAGTGCATTTGATCAAGGCACATTAAAATAAAACAAAATCCTTAAGTCAAAAGCTTTTAGGTGTATTTATGGCTGCATAACAGTTTATACTAGTTTAAAAACGGAACCGGTTCAGAACTGAACCAGAGTGCAAACTCAGGTTTGATTCTGCTTGATTTTCTTACCAAGTACCCTCATTATCTCCCCTTGCTTTCCTTCCCTGTTAACAAGAGTTATGTGATGAAAGTGCTAAGATAAAGTAATGGTAAGGAGGATACCACAAGAGATGTTTGAGAAGCATGAGTAATATACTACTTGTCTGCTTTGTTTTACTTCCCCAAGTCTTCCTGCGGCGAAAGGAAATTCATCTTTTCTGGCAGTCTCCAGCCTTTTTAGGTCTGAGAGCTCCCCAAGCACGCTGGAGTACAGGTGAATGGATGTGAGCTTCTATGAGTACAGTATTAGAAGGAAGGATTAATGCAATGTTTTGCCTGGTATATCATGTCTGAACTTCAAATCACAGAAAGAGAGCATTCTAGAAGGAACAAGAGGTCATCTAGTCCAACCTCCTGCTCAGTGTAGTAATTTTGCAACTATGGTGAGGATTTGTTTGCAAAAATCACTGTAGGTGTAGCAATAACTATAAGGTCATGTGTCTCCCTATGGCCATTTGGTTGAAATTTTGCCAAAATAATAGCCATAGAGAGTACTTTGTTCAGTTAGTGATGCATCTGGCCCTTACATAGATTAAGGTTTGTTCTTGGTTTCCTTTCTTGTAAGTTGTCCAGAGACTTTTTTTGGGTAATGGACAGCATAGAAAATTTTTAAATAAATACAAATAAATAAATAAATAAATAAATGGATTTATAACCACAGAATTGGCAGTCATAGTGATCTTCTAAGGGGGTCCCACCTACAGCTGTGTTGACTAGTTCCTAAACATCCCACATTTCTTTGCTATAAGCTGCAGTGGTTCTGAGGTTTTGCATAAATGATTTGTCTCATCAATTGCTCATTTTTAGGTTCCAGGTGGTATTTAGTCTTGAAAGCAGAAAAAAAATGTTTTAATTCCAGAGTTGTTAAGGCAATGTAAGACCAAAAACTCTATATATATTTATTTTATTAACTCTCTATATAGCAAGCAACTGGAGGGTTTATAGCATGGGTCCTCAAACTACGACCCGCGGGCCAGACCCAGCCCACCATGCCTATTTATCCAGTCTGCCTCAGAGGTTTTGGACTCACCTGGAGAAAATGATCTCCGAGCAAGTCCAAAACCTCTGAGATGGTGCAGGCGTCCTCAGAAACTGAGCAGAGAGAGAGCCGGCGCATGCCAAAATTTCAACAGCTCAACTGTGCGTGTGCCGGCTCTCCCCCCCACTTCCCCATTGCACACATATACAGAGCGGGAATATGGAGTGGGAAACAGAAAAGAGGCAGGCAGAAGAAAAAGAGAGATGAAGAAGGCGAAGAAACTAACAAAAGAATTGAAAGTAAGAAAAATAGAACTTTTAAAATCTATTTTTTAATTATGTGAGCCCGGGGGCAGCCAGCCGCGCAGCATTCTCCGCGCGAGCAAGGCGCCAGCCCTTGCCCTCACCAGCCCTGTTGAAAATTTGAGGACCCCTGGTTTACAGAATGGTCAGTTCATACCATGGCTATCAATGGAGCCCTGACAAACCTATATCACCATCGACCATCTTAAATTTAAGTGATCTCTCTTTTGCAAGGAACCCACGGCAGCTTACGAGGGTCTCCTTCTCTCCATTTTATCCTCACTTCAGCAACCTTGTGAGATATGTAGGCTGAGTGTTAGCACCTGGCCCAAAGTCACTCAGTGAGTTTCACGGCTGAGTGAGGACTAGAAACTGAATTTCCTGAGTCCAACATTATAACCACTCTGTCACACTGGCACTTTGTGAAGTTAAAAGTGGCCACAAAGGAAAAAGGAAGCTCATAAAAAGTTATCAAAAGTTGCATTTTTTGTTATTTTGACCTATTGCATGGCCTATTGATTTCAATCAATCAGTTCTCTGCAACTATCAAAGAAAACATAATCAAAGAAATGTATTGGATCCCAAAGTGCCCTGCCTCTGCACACAGAAGGACCTTTTTCTGATCGAGGCCAAGATCACTATGGGAGAAAACTGAAATACAGAGGAATACTTCTTGTACATTGTTTTGCAAAACCCTATGCACTGTTTTTTCCTACTGCAGTATGCAGACCAAACACTAAAACTTCCTTTCTCCTATTCTTTACAGAGGCATATCTTGAAATTTACCAGCCTTCTTTCTTAACTTCAGCCAATCTTCTGAAATTCCCTGCTACCTTCACTGATTAAACACTTTTAAGTTCTTTAATTCTCCTGATATTGCTAGTTTGAGGAGCTTACATTTGCTTCAGGACAATAGTTGTACTAGGACAGATATCTATTTGTTATTTAATACAATAAGGTATATTAAGGTATGTTTAATCCTGTACACGTTTAGAAAGAAAAAAGCTCTATAACTGCCAGAATTCTCTAGCCAGTCATGCCCTAACCTGCTTAGATGAGTTATGCTTGCAAGTTAAGTATCTTTTAGCCTGTAGACTCACAATAGCAAATTCAAAATCAAGTTATTTACTTATGTACATTATTTGTATACTGTCTAAACATATGCTAAACAGTGAATAGTACAAACTTAAAAGAAGTAAAAGAATAAGAACAATATATTGAAAACAAGATAACATTAAAACTGTGTGTGAGCAGCAAGAAAGGCTTCCTGGAACAATCATCATATTTAGCAGGAGCTGAAAAGAGCATCTTGTTGAAGCCTGCCTGAACTCCAAAGGCAGGAAATGCTCCAGAAATGCACTGAAGGCTCCTCTTTGGGTGGATTCCAGTTGGGTCTATGTGGACCCACCAGGAAAACATCCTCGCATGACCTCACTGATTGGATAGGTTGATTCTTCCTTTTGGTATGGCATGCACTTTGTTCTGCCTATACAACTTCAAAAGTAAAAAGTACTGCTTTACATTCTTTTATTATTTAAAAATGCTTATTACTGCATTCAAAGCACATAAAGGGAATTTGTAGGGGCTGTGCCCTTACCAGGCAAAATATAGAAAAGGAGAATGGACATACACCTTAGGAACACCAGAAGGGTGTACAGTTACTACTCAAAAACTACTCTGAATCACGTAAGTGATTTTGGAAACAAATTTATGGCATCCTGACATTGTCTGGGGGAATACAGGCTGGGGTCCCACAGTTGACCTCAAAAAAAAAATCACCAAGGTCAAAACCAGGACTCCCTGTGTTCTTTCTGAGCTAGTAAGACTCTCAAGAAGGCTGGGCAGTTTTTAAACCAGTGCAGTGGGGATATTCTGGGAGGCAGGAAAGGGAGAAACGAGGCTCCACCACCTTCCAAAGAATCCTGAAGATGCCTCAGTCCCTTCTCTTCATAAAGTGTAAAAAATCATTTAGATAGTCAGAATTAATCATTTTGGGGAAGGTGATGCAGGTGCAGAGGCAATCTTAGCCCTCCTGCTCCTTCTGCCTTTGCCTGGATGACTGAAGATTTAGGAGCAGCAACACTGGATGGTTGCTGGGGCAGCAACAGTGGTTACACACTGAGGGAATTTTGGAATAAGACCAAGGCTTAAACGGCCTCAAAGGCTATGGGGTAGAACAGCAATAGCACTTCCTTCTGGGATGTGACAATGTCATGATATTTAGGTGCATACACAAGAAATAACACAAGAAAAGTTAAACTAATGGAGAAGACTTGAAAAGTAGCTCATTATTTCAGCAGCGGCACAACAATATCAATAGTACCTTAAAATATTTCATTCAAGCACTCCAACCTTTCAAATTGAAAGCCCAACCTCCCTACAGTGCCATTAAAAAGCCACTGCAGAATAAACTCAATTTAGGTTAAGAATACTTTGAGAGGAGTTTTCTTCTTTCCCTTTTTGGAGTGATACCACCATTTTACAATATATTTGCACTATGCAGTCCTTTTGGGGGCAAGCCAAACTAATTTATAGTAATATTTTGGGATAACGGAATCTTGACAACCATGGAAAGCAGTATTCAATACTGCAAAGTCTTGCCTAAAATACAGTATTGAATATCCGCAGCATTTGCAACTGCAGACGCATTCAGCCTCTGGGGCCTTCACATTCCAGCTTATGGGTTAAAGCTGTATCTCAAACTTAAAAGTGGTGCTGGGCATCACCTAGGACTCCTAAACTGTCACCTAAGTGACCATTATTACCTGGTTCCACTTCATGCCATCCACTCGACTGACTGCCACTTCCTGGAGACCGCCCCTGGCTTGTATAAAATGGCTCTTCACCAGGACTGTCCATTTCATCCTCTACAGATTTGAGGCGCTTTGTAGAGCTGGAATTGAAGTACATGCACATTACTGTACAAACTGAAGTGGGATGAAATGCCTGGCTACCTTTTATAGCTGCAATCCTGGAAAACCTACTTGCTCCAAAGCAGAGGTGATACAGCTTCCTTCTGCCTTCCCGCCCCACCTATCCAGGGAGGGAAATCCCTCTGGCAATTCCTTGCTGCAAAAGAATGCACTAGTGAGTTTGGGCAGGGGGTAAAGATATGTTGACTATACATGATCTGACTAACAAATTCAGCTTAAAAATGAATTTCTGTTTTCTCAGGAATGGAAATCCTTCGTAACCCGGGAAGTGCCTGAATATTTAAGGCACTAACAGCAGCAAACAACAACAACAGTGTGACCCACAAGAAAATGTTATATTTTGGAGTGCTTCTCTTCAGGTTTCTAGCCAATCTGTCATGCCCATTTCATTACCTTTCCACCCACCATGATCTTTCATTTTCTTTCTCCTAGAACAGCATTCCATGAGGAAGAAGCATGCTCAATCTACATTGGGAATTTTGGGAACAGGTGTGGGGTTTGGGGCAGGGGGTGGTTGTAAAAGGCACTTCTCTAAATTTTGGGATTTCTCAGTCCTATTGATACTGCCTTGGGCATTGCTGGTGCAGCTTTGGCTACATCAGGGTCCACATATGAGTAAAATATTAGTGTAGAATAGTGAAAGTTACAGGTAAGATTTTCCATTGCATTTTAATATAGGAATGTCTTTTAAACAGAGAAGTGCATTTATATTTATAATCCACTTTTTCTGCAAGGGCCCCAACACAATCTACATAATTCTCTTCATCTCCATTTTATCCTCACAGCATCCCTTTGAAGTACGTTAGGCTGTGAGTCAGTGACAGTGCAAAAATAACCCATGTGGCATATGGTTGAGTGAGGAATCTAATCCAGATCTCCCAAGTCTCAGTCCAACTCTAACCACTATGCCACCCTAGCTGTCTAATTATCCAACTATTATGACTTTCAGTTTAACATGCCATCATATAAAAGAAGGGGTAAGCAAGGCAAGGACTATCGTAAATGGAAAATACCCAAGAGAACAAATCTGACTTAAGGAGCCATAAAAGTGCAGTGAGAATACTAACTCATGTAGCTAGCCAAGGAGAGCAATCCCTCAAAGATTAAATAAAAAAGCACCATCCCCAAATCCACTTCCTGAAACTTCAAAAGACAAAAGTTAACTGTTACTCATCACTTGCCACATACTTTCCTCTCTCCTGCAACATTCAGGCAAAGCCTGAAAAGAAAGATAGCCCTTCTGCTGTGCTCTCAAGGTCAATCGACTCTGACAGTGTCATGTGGGGAATTGCAGAGCCAGAAGCCCTCCATCTCCTTAGCTGCAGTGAGAGGAACTGGCAGCACTGGGGGATGGGGAAAGAAGGGTCCTATTGAATTCACTTTCCAATACAGGGTCAGCAAATATTACATCTGTGGTCAGCAGTGTGGAGTCTATTGCACATTTCTGTGTACAAAGGAAGTTGACACTCCCAAGGATAAGCTACCTGGCTAAACATCTTAGGAAGTGAGACTGCTTTCTGTATTCAGAGATACAGCAAGGGAATAAAAAATAGTAATGTGTGGCCACAATTACCATAACTTTTAAGTTTTTACGGAGATAGCGCACACTGGGTCTTGAAACATTGCTCCAGTAAGGGTTTTGTTCTTTGACATTTGAAGGAAACCTTTCATGGCATCAGCAGATACAGCAAACACATGGGTCACTTGCACCTGGGGACAGGGAAATGTTTGCCTCCTCCACTGTGCCCCTATTTTTGCCTCTTCCCTTTTCCCTCTCACACTTATGAAGCATTTTAATTTTACAAGGAAAAGTGAATGTTTAAGAGTATGTTTACTACACTGCTATGTGCACATAAATGTGGCCTTCCTAGCCTTTCATCTCATTGCCCTTATATTTCTAAATTTTCATTTCAGTTCATGAGAGCTAGGCACTCATTTTTCAAACTATTACAAATAACTTTTCAGGCATTCAAGCCATAGTCCAAGAATGCCAAAGAGGAGAAGTATATGTCCCGTTTTCAACCTCAGCTCCCAGAAAAGCAAGTTCTGAAAACTTGTTTGCAAATTCCTAAACCTGCATTCAAGTTTTTAATAAAATGCTTTATCATACTTGACACTATGTGAGGAAGCGTGGTTATTGGCACATTAAAATGTGCATTTATCCTGTTTGAAATGTGTTCTTTCCACATAAACAGAAAAAAGAGCACAAATGAACATGGAAACCAAGCTAAGTCAAGCTTCAAGGTGCTGTTCAGAGAATTTGGGTGAGCATGAAAAGCACTTGTTTGCTGATCCCTGCTGAAGAATATCTCAAACCACACCTTCCCCAGGTCTGTCTTCAAGGAATGTTAAGTATCAGCAAGAAACATTTTTGTCTACAGTACAATCATTGTCTTGATAATTCTGCTAGTCTCAATGCTAAGATGTGCATGAAAGTAAATGTTACTGAAAATGGTAACAGCATACTTTAAATAAACATGTTTATAAGTGTGCTATAAGCCTGTAATTAAGGACTTTCTTTTGCCTAACAAAGAATAACGTACTGAAAAGAAAAAAAAACAAACATTGTGCAGTCATTAACTACTGATGCTGTTTATAATTAATTTTTGTAAGTGTCAGTTATTTGTAGAAGTACACCAGAGTTACAGCTGAGCTTTAAAGTATCATTAATAATCCATCTATTCTCCCAGTCATCAAAATCTATTAGTTAAAACAGAGATTGTCCTAGTATATTTGTAGAAAGCAAAAAAATAATAAAATATTTGTGTGAAGGATAGACTTCAATATATTTTAAAATTCTGCAGATGGCTGAGCAGAACAAGCCCTACTTCACATTACATTTTCTTATATATCATGCCTGTGTCGGAATACATGTGTCTTCAGTCATTTGCAAAACACTTGCATGAATCTAGTCTGATAAGTGTATCTAAAGTGAAAACATTCAGCCAACTGGAATGTGAGGACCCATGTGAGTACAGCTATATATGCATGTGAGTAGTCATTAAACAAAATGGTTTTACACATGCTAAACACACTGTATCCTCCACTAAAGTGATATCTTCATTGGTAATATATTAGGTGTAGAACAGCCCTCTAAGATCAAAATAATTAATCCATTTTAACTAGAAGGGGCAGAATCAGTTCAGATCATTTATAGCATCCCAGATGACACAAGTTTTAGGCTTGCTTATAGGTCGAATTGCATGGAAGTTGAAAGAAAGGGATCATGATATAAAAATCATTGTCTTCAAATTAGCATCTAAACCACAAAATCTACACTCACAGGGCCCCAGAACCAATAATTCCTCAACATGGATAGGCCTAGAATATCAACTGTTCTGCAAGTAAGCCCCACTGATCTCAATGGAATTTAAGTCTGAGGAGACATGCATAAGATTGTGCAGTAAGACATTATGCTACACAATTTTAGAACAAAGCCTACAATTCCCATCATGCCCCAGCCAGCATGCTGGGAATTGTAGATCTTTCTCTCTATACATGCATAGAATTGCATCTTAGTTCACATTATACTGAGGAATGCTGAGAGTTGTAGGTCTTATTTCTGCCCCAATAAGCATAGGGTTGCACCCTAAATCCCTAAAGCTGTATCTATACATTGATTTCTAAAGGACAAACCCTGAAATGTGCATTAGTATCTTAGTTACTGTCTTAACAAAGAGCATATATTGGTTGATCTGAAGACTGCTGTTCACTTGTCCTTTTTGCAACATGACAACAAGCTGTTGCACAAAGAAACATATTTTTACAAAGTAATGGAGCAAGCCAGCCACAGTTTTCTGTCATATATTAAACAGAGCCCCAATTAAGTTGTCCTGGTAAAGTATGGGGCATTCCTGCTGTGTGAATGAGCCTGCACAAGACTGTGGCTTCTGTGTGCTCCCCATCCTTCTTCTTCCTTTTGTACAGCTGTGAGAAAGAGGCAGGCAACAAGCACACTACCATTTCATTGAAATATAATGGGAAGCCATGGTTTGATCCCAGTTTGTTCTCGCTAACTAGGATATCTGACCAGTTGCTATGCTGGCTGCGGAGAATGGGAACTGTACTTCAGCACAACTGGAAAGCACCAACTTGGGAAAGGCTGGCTTAAGAAAATCCCTGAAATTGGACATCACAGCATATCCTTTCAAAAGTTTTATTCCACTGATCTAAACAAATGATTAATGCACATCAGTATTAAGAAAAAGAAGTGTGTGTGTGTGTGGTGGGGGGAACCCTTCTTCTGTAGTTTTGCAAAACTCCAAAGTATAAATAAAGAGCTTTGAGACAGTTTAAAGATGACACGTCATTCTATTATTAGAACTGTCCAGTGTCTTAAGCTGAGTATATCAGGCAACATGAGCACTAAATGACAGCATTACTCATATTGAAATGTCCACATAGCCATAACCCATATCATGCACAGATCAAATTACCTGGTGGAGGAGGTGCTTGGTAAAGATCTCCTCATTGCTCCTGGGCTCATGCTATAGTATGAGGAACTTTCCAAATCTGAGAGTGAGAAATTAGGGCCTGTTCCTGCAGCTATTGGCGCTGAAGAAACAAAGAAAAAGAAGTCAGTAAGCCACATGGAAAAGGAATAATTACATTTCAAATATTCCCTTTCATCTTAATGACGTTAACCAGCATGTAGGTAGAAAGGTATAAGTAAATTGGTACTGTAATCAGAAAGATTAAAAGCTCATCATGCAACTTTATGATTAAGTAGTTCTTTGAAGGTCTTTTCCTGATGGCAAAGTCTTATTTTGTACCACATTTCAATGATTTCATTCTGGAAAACTGGAGGAAAATGGTTTCTTCTTTGTTTTCCCATGACCACTGTGATTGGGTAAGTTAGCAATGTTCTCTCAACCAGTTCTCAGTGTTTGTTCTCTTACGTTCTTGGTAAAACCTCTGTTTTCTCTTGACTGTACAAATGTCTGTAACGAACTAGCTTTTCACAAAGATATTACTAACTCCCTTCTCTACAGTGCAAAGATAGAAGGTCATGAATCTTCTGCCATCAATAATATGGATCTGGCACCATCCACAGAAGAAGTCACTAAAGGCCTTTCCAGATAAACATTTTATTACAGAATAAATAGTAATAAAATTTATTATTATTCAGTAGTTATTCAGTAGTTGCAGGAGATCCATAGTCACCCCTCCTTTCCTGTTCTCAAGAAATTTCATTTCTGTTTTGGTTTTCTTTCCATCATTTAAGCTTCATCATTTCAGCTTTTGTTCCTAGGAGTACTTGAGCAGCGTTGCAACAGGGAACACTATGAATTGAGGTTGTTCTGATGTCATGGACACCTAGCAGGGCCAATTCACACCTGCCTATTTATTCCCCTCTGACTGGACATCACACAAATAAAGCATGTACACATACACACAAAGAAAGAAAGACAGCACCCAAGCGGGTAAGCGTACCTCTTCCACTGCAGGGAACACAAGTCAAGTTATACATTCAGCTGCAACTAATCAAGAGTTTATATTTGCATATTCATTACTGAATGGTGTGGTTTAGATGTAATACCCAAACCATGGTTTAGGCACTGTGACTGAGCCATGGGATCATGCAGTTCATCTGAGAAACCATGGCTTCCAGTTCTAGTTGGGAAAACAAGCAGAATCAGTAATTTGAAAATTTGGATGAAATGGTAAAATATGCTTTGCCAGGTAGGGCTTTTAGAGCAGAGGTTAAGTGCATGAAATGGTGAGATTAGGAAGTCTGAAAATCCAATGGCAGGTAAGCTATAGTTTGGTGCAACCTATGGACCAGGTCACTGATTGCAAATGACTTGCATGACAGATTAAAAACCACCTTCAGGATGCCCTATATCAAATTTATACTTTCAGAAAGTAAGCTGAGCAATCAAGTGTTGAGCAATCGTATTGCATATTTATGTGAACCAATGTTTAGACACTACTGTGACCATGGCATTGCTAGTAACATGTAGCATTTTGCCTTCCTCTGTGCCCATGCCTTTTCTGAACTCCATTAACATCAATCTCACCACTGCTATCATCATCATTGTAGGGGTTGAGAGGTACTCAACCAAGGAAGACTTCAACAATTCTTTAAAATTAAATAAATGAAGCACTGGCCACTAGCAAGGCAGCCCTCAATGTTGTTTTTCCCAAAGATCCTAAAATTCAGTATAGTAGGAAATGATCGATGAAAAGGTTCATATTTTTATCTCATTGGCCAATCCTGACCTAGCCTTTACAAGGGCTACTGCATGCATCAGCATCAAGTATAGAATCTTAACTCCAATCCCTTACCAGTCAGACAGCAAGAAGCTTAATGGCAGCTGGGCCACTGAAACTCCCTCATGATGGTTTGAAAATGCCATTACAATTTCATCCTCTCTATGCATTGCGATAGCAAGTGCCATCAAGGGCTTCTTTGTAACTGAGTAAAGCTGGATGCCTCATCTAATTTTCTTTCTGTGCAATGGGTTGGTGGTCACGAATTTCTTGTTCCCACTATTATTAATTTATATCCTGTTGTCTCATCTTGCAAGGAACTCAAGACAGCTTGCATAGTCCCACCTCCATTTTATCCTTGCAACAGTCATCTAGGTTGGGTTGACACTTAGTGACTGGCCCAAAGTAACCCAGAGAGCTTGATGGCTGAGTGGGGAAGAGAACCTGGCTCTCTCGAATCTCATCTTAACCACTACATGGCACTAGCTCTACTGGACAATACTTTGTAACAATAAATGTGGCAATGTATGAACAAGCCAGGAAGTCTACTTGGTCAGAGCTTGCATCCATCTCACCCAGTTTTGTCTGCTCTGATTACAGTGGCTCTCAGATTTTCCTAGCATTTGTTTCCTGAGATCTAATTTTCTAAAGATGCCATCAAATGAACTTGGTATGTTCAGCATGCAAAGTATGCTGTACGCTATTCCACTCAGCCCATTAGGGTCTGACTGCTAAACTGCAGTCCTCAGCTGGACAGCTACAATGTACTAAGTGGTTAACAGAGTGCACCTGAAGTCCAGGAATAACGGATGATACGAAGAACAAAATGCTCCTCAGACTCATCTCATACAGTTGTCTCATGTAATCTATGGCATACTCCAAGCAGTGGTTTAAGGACAACCAGTGAATTGATATGCATTGATAGCAATGCATTTTTAAAAGCACAGGATGGAAAGAATGCAATGATATTAAAATAGAAGCCAGTCTGTAATGATCTTTAAAAGGAATTAACTGGGGAAATAATTTACAAGAACACTCTAAACTCATTTGCAATCTTACTTTAACTACAATATGCTTCCTGTGCAATGGGTGAATGAAACTTTTAAAAAGGCATTGTAAAATTAACTCATTTTATCAATTTGTGCTGTCTGCTAGAGTTTCCTGACAGCAGAGACAAGGGGCAGTAAAACTGATGAATTTGCATGGAAAAAGGAACCAGTGTAAGTAATTTGTGTAAAAGGTAACACGGACATGGACTGCTATAATTCAGACACCCTGCGGTTAGCAAACTGCTGCAGTGTGAACAGTTATGGGTTAGAAAAATGACCACACTGCAGTCAGTCTGACTTAAATGGAAATCAATCATAAAGGTACACTCTGCAGCATCCACTCCACAGTTTTAGCAACTTCTTGGCCAAACACATTTGTACTTTTAAAAGCCTTTGCTTGATAAATTTTCTTTTACGGAAGACCTGGGGAAGGCCTAGCTTGAAAGGTTAATACTGTGTTTTTCAAGTAGGAACATGGTAATTTCACTTTCCAACTACTGTAAGGTTTATTAAACAGATTTATTTGAGATAGGGTGAATAAAAATTCCTTATACAAGGCCCAAATCTACGCACATAGAACTAAGTCCTACTATATTCAACAGGACTGAGTTTCAGATAAGTTGGCATAGGGACTGCAGCACAACTGTAGGTATGTCTCTTCAGACATAAGCCCCACTAGTTCAACAGGACTTACTCCTAGAGAAGGATATACAGGATATTCCAATCAGGTGCTCTCATTTTTAGGAGGCTTAGATCTCTCAGGGTACAGAAAAACATCCTGCAATTGCTAGCAGGCTGGACTGTACAACTTTTTTTCATTTGAAGCATGCATAGCATTGTGCCCTTAAAATTTAATTTGGTTTCATTAAGCAATTGCTTTTGAATATATACAGATATTACTGGGCAGTGGCAGTGGAGTCAATAGGACTATTTGAAATATTTTCCCAGTGAACAGTTCAGACTAAGCATAATGTGAGAAGAAAGAGATGGGAGGAAATGGAAATCTACTGTATTTTAGATATATCACTTGGAACTTAACCACTTTATATCAGGTTAGAATTCAGACACTTTTTGGAGAAGAGCATGCACCGTCAGCATTAATTAATAATTAATGGAGAAACCAAGATTCAAGATTCTTGAAAACAGAGACCCCTCTGAAAAATTCATTATGGCGCGCATGGTACACGTGCAAAAAGCAGGAGATAGTGGCATTAAGTACAGCAACAGCAAGCCAGGTTTCATGCTGACTTGGATTGATCTAGGGAGTCTACAGGAGCTGCATGCAGTAATGGCAACTACTTGGCCCCAGTTGAAGGTTCAACTTTGGAGGTGGGTAGGATTTTTCAGCTGCTGAGCTTCAATCACTGACACCTCTTCCAGCTCCAAAACCGAGAAGGTGGTCTGTCTTGTAGCTGTGTGGCCAAGGCACCTGAAGAGACCCAACCATAGCAAACTGGTATGCCTCTTTTGATCTGGAGCAGGAAAAGCAGGCAGGAAACCTGCTGCCTGAAGGCACTCTAAGCAACTTTAAGCAGCCACCCTTAACAGTTCACAAGCCTTGGAGGTCACTCTGTGGCTGTGTACCAAGTGCCTTTAGGCAGTGGCACCTAGCAGATTGCCTTCTGGCCCCAGGCCTTCTCAGGAAATGCTAGCAGGGGAATGAAATGGTAACTAGAATGTTCGGCGAAGTCAGCAAGGAGAGCCAATAATTTCTGTCCTCCACTCCTCATACAGAGCAGCAGAAGGAGAGACTTGCTGAATGAGACTAGAGGCCTGTCTACTTCAGCACTTTGTTCCTAAGCAGTCAAGCAGGTACCTATGGGAAGCCCACAAGCAGGAGACTCTGTGTGGTGGGTAGAAACAGACATATAGGAAGTGGTACCTGCAGCAAAGTGTTGCAGTGCTGAGTGTTCCTCTTCCATGCTCTCCTCCAGGATATTCATTCCATTTCCTAATTCACTTAGTTCTCAGTTTTTTTCTCCCCAACAGCCAATAAGTACACAGCTTATTCTTCATGGGACTCCTTTTGGGATTTTGTCCCTTAGCTTTAAGTTCACAAGATCTTTTATTTGCTTGTTTTGTACTTTTGTACTTCAGGTTTACCAAGACTTTGGATATGTTCCTTTGTGTGTTGGTGCCGCTGTTTGGGTAGAACATCAGAAATAGGAGGAATGATGAGCTGAAGCTACATATTAAACAGTAAGCAATAATCCCTTCAGTTATTTCCACATGTGTGGAATCTGGTAGCCAGCACAGAAACTAGCAAGAGTAGAAACAGAATTTGGACATTTT